GGAGGACGAGCTCGGGGCCTCAGTTTCTTTGCTCTCCTGACAGAATCCTTATTATTTTTTTTTTTTTTTGTAATACCTTTCATTCTGTGGAAGACCAAACAAACATAAAACGCCTCAGGAAATTACCGTTTCTGCCGTTTCCAGCAGTAGCGGAGGGCAGCTGTTCTGTAGGTGCTTAACAGCAAATTTGGGGTTCCATTTTCTACCTCAGTGGATTCAGGCGCAGAGCAGGCCGTGCAGTTCAGCGTCCGAGCTGCTTGCTGATACTGCTTGACACTTCTGGTACAAATCCCTTTATTCTTCCTGAGAAAAACACCACAGTAAAATAACCCCCGTTACCTTGCCAGGGGCTTGCAAGGATAGTTCTGGAGATTCTCCAAGGCTTGCTCCCAGCTCCTGGCACCTGTGTAGGACGGTGTCTCCAGCCTTGGAAGCGTGATGCAGCAAGAGAAAGGTTATGCTGCACGCTAGAAACTATAAGAAGGTTATTCAGGTCAGAAGCAAATGAGATACCTATTAAAAATGAGTCACGACACAGGGCTGTCAAGGTAGGTGGAAGCTTAGAACTGACTGAAAATGTGTAAACAACAAACTTATTTTGTGTACTACTAAATATATAGCATGTCTTCGTGTATGATAAAACCTGTAAGTGTTTCAAATTGCTCACCCTAATCCATAGAGTCTTCAGGAGCGCTTAGTGTAGTTATGGTACTCATTCTAATGCCTAATGCATTTTTTGTAAACCCTGCAGTTTGGTAGAACAGGGCAATAAGTGTTTATTTCGGCTTCTTGTGCAGAGCTCCATACAATTTTGTTTTTACTCTGGATCATGCTTGTGTGTTCCAAAAGGGCTTAGTTCTTCCTATCTGAAGAATAAGAAGATTTCAGTGAAGCTCAAAGAGTAACTATAGCTTCACTTATATCATCATGAAACATAAAGGATGCATGACTGATGAATCTGGAAAGGTTGGTAAGTTTCTACAGCCTGAAGAAGGAACAAATCTTTGTGTGGGAAATAAAATATATAAAGACTGGCCAGCAGGCAAAAATGAAAAAGGATGGCACTCAATAAGCAGATCTGTGAAAATGTAAGTGCAAGGTTTTGGAGAATAAGGAAAAGTCAAAACTCAACTGAGGCTATTTGAAGAATGCCATGTCCTACAGATGTTATTTTCCCTGCAGGAAGTGCAGGCCAAAAAAAAAAAAAAAAACAAAAGTAAGATAACAAAATGAATTGTACGAAAGAAATATAGGAAAGAATAAAGAAATATAAGTTCAAAATGAAATAACTAGGATGAAGAAACTGTCATGGACAGACATGCAAAACAGAAAGTGGACAGGGACTCAGGGGAGGCTAGAGGTAGAAAAGCTAATAAATGGTCCCACAGTTTGTCCTCCCACAGTTTGTCCTCCCACAGGAGGACAAAGATACGATGATTAGATTTAAGTGAAGAAAGGCAAGGGCTGCAATTAAAAGAATGAGAAATGCCTGTGAAAGTGGAATAAAATACATGCATTTCTGAAATATCAACAACATTGTCTTTCAGAGATTCGGTATTAAGAGATAGCTAGCGATGGTTGCATATTACTTCAGAGAATCCAAAAGGGTCAGGAACCTCACAATACCAATGTGCTTCTAGAAAAACAGAGTTGTAGAAAAGAGAAAAAAATGGTTACTGCCCAGCAAAACCTTAAGCAATCCTGTTTAGAAACACCAATGCTTGGGTTCACTTCTTAACATATGTAGGCATGGAGCCCCTTTTTCAAAGTTTTGCACTAAGCTAGACACAAATCCAGAAGCAGAGGCAGAGCAATGCAAGTGAGAATTGGGAGGTGGCATAATGGAACCTGTGACTTTCCGTAACTGCCCGTTCCTCATTAGACTTTGGGACTTTTGCCAGTTTTATGTATGTTTCTATGTAATTCCACACACTAGAGGAGAACATCAAATGGCAGCAAGCATAATGTTCCTGACTGCAGAATCCCACTAAAAATACCCCCATGCAGCGCTGAGTATCTGGTTCGAACTTGCTTGCTGAACTCTATCAATTAGCCAGATCTTAATCTATTTAATGTGTTTTATTAAGGCTATATAATGCTAATGTTTTAATCAAAATGTCAAGCAGTACTAAATCAAATTCATTAGCAAAGTCTATGTATATCACATCTGTGTGGTTACCTTGATCAAACAAACCTGTAATCTCATCAAAAAGTGAAGTCAGGCCTGCTTGTCAAGACTTGTTTCCATAAAGCCATGTGGACTTGCTTTCATTATAGTCCTACCCTTTAACTCCTCATTGATTGAATCACACATAGCATGACTGTTTAAATTCACAAAACATCACTGTTTTGTCTAGGATTGCTGAGGATGCCAGGTCTATTATTACCTGGGTCATTCTGCTTCTTTTGATTCTTGGGATAACATAGGTGTTCCTTTGGCCTTTCAAATTTTGTTGCTGTATAGAGAGCTATTGACAAGTTACATTAGAAGGCTAGAAGTCTTGTAAGCCCACTATTTAGGAATTTTGGATGTCCAGGTGCCTGTGACATCGCTGACTGAAAACCAGTAATGCCATTTTACATCCTCCTTAAGTATCAATGACTAGGAAAACAGTTCATCATCCTCATGTATCATTAATACATTATCCTATTTTTTTCATGAGTACAAGATAAAAATATTTACCGTAAAAGTTGGATTTCTTATTCATGCTCAGAGACCAGATTTCGTAGTGAAGAAGCTATGACAAGGGAGGATGTGTCTATACAAAACTGAGAATGTAATTTTGTAATAAGAACTGCACTTTGCACAGTGGGCTAAGTACAGGTGTCTGTGGATAGTTAGGTGTTATAGTTTGATCAAAAGGTGTACCACTACGCTATGCTGTCTTCTCTGATTGCAGTGTAGGTATACTTTGAGTCACCTTTACTGGTAAATCACTAATGATTATAGAAATTTCTCCTTTGAACCATGCATGTCTGTGATAAGATAGAGAAGGCTTGGTTCTGTTGTGTAATTGGGTCCTGCTATAGACCTGGGACAAGAATATCTGGCATCTTGATATTTAGTTCCTAGAGAACAGAGCACCACGTGGGACAATTTCTCTCATTTTGTCTCTCTGAAAATCTAGTGGAATCACTTGAATCATTGCAAGATTGCCTGACTCAGAAGCCAAACTTGCTCTGCAGTTTGGATTCTTGCTTTAGTTCTTGGGGAGCAGTGTTCAGAATTAGCACCTGGGCCACCTAGTCTCCTGTCTTCTCTAAAAGTGTATTTAAGCCTGGTCCTCTTCCCATCAATCCGTAGCTCAGTCCTGTAATCTGAGATACTAGACTCCTCCAGAGAGTACTTTGTTGCAAGCTTTTCCTTTTTGCTGCCACTATTGCTGCTCACCTGCAGGCCCCAGTCTACCTCTTAGGTTAGCAGCTAATCTCATCAGCTTTTGTCTTAGTTCTCAGGCTAACTTTTTGGTCTTCCCTCTGCAGCCAGCTTGTACTGCACTCCATACACAGTTTTCCAGTCTTTCCTCTTAAGCCTTTTTTCTTAGCAGTTCATTTTATAGATCACTAGCTGTCACATAGCTTGATGACATCTTTCCCCTCTTACCCCTAGCCAAAACTGCCCATCTTTCCCAGGTCCTGCTGTGAGCCAGGTTATTTGGACTTCTAACGGCCTGGGTTGCAATCCAGCCTGTATATCTGATTGGGGTTTAAACTGTTTGGACACCTAATGAATCTGAAGGTGTAATGATTCATTAAAATATATTTAGTAACTAATGCAGACAGTCAGAAAGCAAAGTTGCTATTTT